TTCAAGTAGAGACAGGGTTTCAGCATGGTGGCCAGGCTGGTCTTGAACTCCTGACCTCAGGTGATCTGCCCATCTTGGCCTCCCAAAATGCTAGGATTACAGGAACGGGCCACCACGCCCAGCCTGTTTCCTCTCCTGATAACAACTGGCTTTACAAAGAGCATGCATAAGCCTCATCAGAACCCATAAAATGATTGCTAAAGTTTCCATATGATTTTAAAATATTTTTCTATTGTATTAGGCTGGGCATGGGGGCTCATGCCTGTAATCTCAGCACTCTGGAAGGTCAAGGCAGATCAATCACTGCATCTCAGGAGTTCAAGATCAACCAGGGCAACACAGATGTACTCTCTTAAAAAAAAAAAAAAAAATGAAAGAAACACTCGAATGATAAGCATAGAAATGAAAGAAACAAACGAAACAAAACAAAAAGTCCCTGAGCAATGGCTCACACCCATAATCCAAGCACTTTTGAGGCCAAGGGGGATGGATAACCTGAGATCAGGAGTTTGAGACCAGCCTCGTCAACACCAAGAAACCCTATCTCTACTAAAAATACAAAAATTAGCCAGGCGTGGTGGTGCACCACTATAATCCCAGCTATTTAGAAGGCTGAGACAGGAAAATCTCTTCAACCGGGGAGGTGGAGGTTGCAGTAAGCCAAATTGTCCCCCTTCACTCCAGCCTGGATGAAAGAACAAAAAGTGTCTCAAAAAAAAAAAAAAAAAAAAAGTTCTTTTGTATTTCTGGAGGCCTGATACATATACAAAATACACAAACTAGGATACAACTTGATACAATTTTGCTTATAAAACAATGTAACAATACTTAAATAAAAACCCAAAAGGCTTTGATAGCCTTTGATAGCCATTCACAAAAGTATATACTAGTCTGACTTCCATAGGTTAGTTTTTCTCGGATCTGAATTTTATATTAACAAAAACACCCTTTTGTGGCTGCTATATAATTCCTTGGCTTGTAGTTACCTCAATCCAATCTCTGACCCCAAAGTCACATTCCCTTGTCCTTTTCTGTCAAATTGCTCTCTTCCCCTCTCTTACAAGGACAGTAGTTATGACATTCAAGGCACCCAGGGATAATATAGGATCATACCCTTATCTTTAAGATTTTTAGCTTAGGCTGGTGGCTCATGCATGTTAATCACAGCACTTTGGGAGGTTGAGGCAGGCAGATCACTTGAGAACAGGAGTTTGAGACTAGCCTGGCCAAACTGGCAAAACTCCATCTCCACTAAAAATACAAAAATTAGCCAGCCATGGTGGTATGTGCCTGTTGTCTCAGCTACTTGGGAGGTTGAGGCATGAGAATTGCTTGAACCCAGATGACGGAGGTTGCAGTGAGCCAAGATCTCGCCACTGCACTCCAGCCTGGGTGACAGAGCAAGACTCTGTCTCGAAAACAAAAACAAAAACTAAAATAAAGTATTTTTAGCTTGATAACACATCAGCCAATAACTTTTCACTAAATAAGGTAATACTTACGGGTTCCAGGGATGAGGCTCTGACTTCCTCAGAGGACCTTTATCAGCATATTTCATGTTTTATTGTTTTTAGAAATTTGTCCATCTCATCAAAGTCAAATATATCACTATGAAGTTGTTCATCAAATCTTTTTTTTTTTTAAAAACAGGGCCTCACTTTGTCACCCAGGCTGAAATGTTGCAGCCTCGACCTCCCAGGTTAAAGTGATCCTCCTGCCTAAGACCCCACAAGTAGCTGGGATTACAGGCATGCACCACCATGCCTGGCTAACTTTTGTATATTTTTGTAGAGACAGGGTTTTGTCATGTTACCCAGGTTGGCCTTGAACTCCTGAGTTCAAGTGATCCACCCACCTCAGCCTCACAAAGTGCTGGGATTACAGGTGTGAGTCACCACACCTGGATGTCAAATCTTTCTTGTCTTTTTAACATATTAGAGTCAGCAGTGCTATACTCCTTTATGGCTGATCAGTAGTTTCTGTCTTTTCTTAATGATCACTCTGGCTGAAGATTATTATTAATAAATCATCAATAAACTTGATAATTTATCAATTTTGGATCTTTTCAAAGATCCATCTCCAAATTTAATTAATTTTCTCTATTTCTGTTTGTTTTGGATTTTTTTTTTTTTTTTTTGACTTACAGTTTCACTCGTGGTGCCCAGGCTGCAGTGTAATGGCGCCATCTTGGCTCACCACAACCTCTGCCTCCCAGGCAGTCTCCTGAGTACCTGGAATTACAGGCATACACCACCACACCTGGCTAATTTTGTATTTTTAGTAGAGACAGAGTTTCTCCATGTTGGTCAGGCTGGTCTCAAACTCCTGACCTAAGGTTCAGCCAACCTTAGCCTCCCAAAGCACTGGGATTACAAGCATGGGCCACCACACCTGACCTGTTTTGGATTTTCTAGTTTAATTTTATTTTGTTGTGGTCAGCCAACTTCATTTATTTCACATCTCTGAAATCATAAAACCGAACTGTATGATTTCAATCCTTTTAAATTATTGAGGCTCATTTTATGGCTCAGAATTGGGTCTCGGTACTAAAAATAGAAATACTAAATAAGACCTAGGATTTGCCAGCACAACAAGGTGATCATAGTAAACAAAAAATTTAATTTTTCATTTAAAAATAACTAAAAGCATTTAAGTGGATTTTTAAAACACAAAGGATAGGCCAGGTGTGGTGGCTCATGCCTGTAATCCTAGAACTTTGGAAGGCCGAGGCTGGCAGACTGCCTGAGCTCAGGAGTTCCAGACTACCCGGGGCAACATGGTGAAACCCCACCTCTACTAAAAATACAAAACTTATCTCGGTGTTGTGGCAGGCACCATCCCAGCTACTCAGGAGGCTGAGGCAGGAGAACTGCTTGAACCTGGGAGACAGAGGTTGCACAGAGTCAAGATCGCATGCTGCATTCCAGCCTGGGTGACAGACTGAGACACCGTCTTCAAAAGAATAAAATTAAATTAAAATAAACAAAAAACACACACAAACAAAATAAATGCTTGAGGTGAAGAATATCCTATTTACCCTGATGTGATTATTATGCACTGCATGCCTGTATCAAAATATCTCATGTAACTCATAAACATACGCATCTACTATGTACCCATAAAATTTTAATTTTTTTAAAGCATATGTTTTTAAAAATTGGGCTTACTCTGGTGAATGTTTCCTGAGAACTTGTAAAGAACATGGTTTTCATTTTGCTACTTTGTACAGTATTCTACATATACCAAATAAACATGTCACCTAGGTTAATAGAATTGTTCTAAGTCTTTAATGACCTCAACGATTTTCTAACCACTTCTTGGATCAATTATTGAGAAAGGATTACTGAAATCTCCAACTAATGTGTGTTTGTCTGTTTCTCCTTTCAGTTCTATTATTTTTTGCTTTATGTATTTTGATGCTATTTAATTAGATGCACATATAAGATTATGTCCTTGATTAATTAACTCTTTTATCATTACGAAGTTCTGTTTATATCTGGTAAAATAACTTACTCTGGTATCTATATTATACCAAAATTAATGTAATAATTTTGGCACCCTTGGGATTATTCTTTGCAAAATATGTCTTCTATTCTTCTAATAGTAGCATGTGTCTATATCTTCAAAGTGGGTGTACATATGTTGACAACATACTTGTCCTTGAATATTTTATGCAATTTGAAAATCTCTGCTGCTTAACTGGAGTATTTTGTTTGTTTCTTTATTCCTTTTGTTGAAATAAAAGAATTTCATCTCATTATCTGGAGTATTAAAAGCATTTCTACTTAATGTTGTTATTAATACTAGAGTAAGATGTAAACTACTATCTTGCTATTTGTTTCCTACTCCTCCCATTAGCTCCCCATTTTCTTGTTTCCTATCTTTTTATAGTGACTTCTAAAAATTATTTTCTGTCCATTATTTCCTTCTTAGTTATACCTCCTCAACTAGTTACACTAAGATTTATTTACACATGTAAAAATAAATATATATATACAAAAACAACCATATATATATATATATATATATATATACACATACACACACACACACACACACACACACACACACATACACACACACACACACACATATACATATATATGGTTTTTTTTTGGTTTTTTCTTGAGATGGAGTTTCACTCTTATTGCCCAGGCTGGAGTGCAATGGAACAATTTGGGCTCACTGCAACCTCTGCCACCCAGGTTCAAGCTATTCTCCTGCCTCAGCCTCCCAAGTAGCTGGGATTACAGGCATGCATCACCATGCCTGGCTAATTTTGTATTTTTAGTATGGACGGGGTTTCTCCAAGTTGGTCAGGATGGTCTTGAACTCCCGACCTCAGGTGGGTGATCTGCTCGCCTTGGCCTCCGAAAATGCTGGGATTACAGGCATGAGCCACGGTGCCCAGGGGTGGACTACAATGCGGATTTTTTGTTTGTTTTTTAAGATGGAGTCCGGCTCCTGTTGCCCAGCCTGGAGTGAAGTGGAACTATCTTAGCTCACTGAAACTTCTGCCTCCCGGGTTCGAACGGTCCTCCTGCCTAAGCCTCCTGAGTAGCTGAGATTACAGGTACCCACAGCCATGCCCGGCTAATAGGGCTTTTAGTAGAGACAGAGTTTCGCCACATTGGCTAGGCTGGTCTCAAACTCCTGACCTCAGGTGATCCTCCCACCTCAGTCTAGTAAAGTGCTGGAATTACAGGTGTGAGCCACCATGCCCAGCTGGAAGATGTGTTTTATACTGACTCACATGTTGCTCTTTTTCTAGTATTCTTCCATTAGATCCAGTCAGGTTCCAAAATATTGTTTCAAATTATAGTTTACCCCAATTCGGGACTTCTATCACGTTTCTAAATAATGTAAACTTTGCAACAGTTTAATTCAATTTAATCTCCTTCTGCCTTTCTGCCATTCTTGTAATTTCTATATGTTATAAATCCCTCCAAATATTATTGTTTAAACAATCTGTATTTCTTTATATTTAACCACATAATTACTTTTCTCTGCTCCTTATTCCTTCACGGAGACATGTGCCTTCATCTGGGATCATTATTCTTCATGCTGAAGACATTCCTTTACTTTTCTTTTCTTTTTTTGAGACGGAGTTTCGCTCGTTACCCAAGCTGGAGTGCAATAGTGTGATCTCGGCTCACCGCAATCTCTGTCTCCTGGGTTCAAGCAATTCTCCTGCCTCAGCCTCCCGAGTAGCTGGGACTACAGGTGTGCACCACCATGCCCAGCTAATTTTTGTATTTTTAGTAGAGAAGGGGTTTCACCATGTTGACCAGGATGGTCTCGATCTCTTGACCTTGCAATCCACCCGTCTCGGCCTCCCAAAGTGCTGGGATTATAGGCGTGAGCCACCACACCCGGCCTCCTTTACTTTTCTTAAACTGTGTACTAGTGATAACTTCTCTACATTGGAAGATCTACAAACCTCTATATTTCACCTTCAATTTTGAAAGTAATATCTACTGGACAGAGAATTCTAGAGAGGCAGTTTTTCTTTTACAATTTCGAAATGTTATTGTATTTGTCTTTGGTTTTTATCATTTTTGTTGAAAACTCAGCCATCAGCTTTGTTATTGTTCTTCTCTACCTTCACCCCCACCCTCTAGGTCTGCTTTTAAGGTGTTAGTTTATAAGAGATTAAGCATAACATACCCGAGTGTGGTTTTCTCTCTGTATAAATTTGGATCTGTTCTCTTTTTGTGTGTTTTTCATTAAAGGCTATTTTGCCCAGACTGGTCTTGAAGTCCTGGCCTCAGGCATTCCTATCACCCCGGCCTCCCAAAGTGTTGAGCCCATGCTTGCTCTGTCTTTCTTGCTTTGTGAGTTGGTATCTTTTTATTTGTTCTGAAGTCTTTTTAGCCATTATATATTCAAGTATCAGTCCTCCTCCATTCATTCTCTTATGAGTCTCTAATAATAAACATTAATTCTTCAGACTCTATCATTCTTTTTTCTTTTTCTTCTTTTAATGATAGAGATAAGGTCTGCTATGTTGTCCAGGCTAGTCTTAAACTTCTGGGATCATGTGATCCTCTTGCCTTCGCCTCCCACAGAGCTGCGATTACAGGCGTGAGCCACCACATCCAGCCTGAACTGTATCTCACATCTTCTGCACTCTCCTCTCTTTATCCTGGCCCCTCCATACTTCAATTTCTTTTGCTCTTGGTACCTAGGTTTCCATATATACACTAATTTGTCTCTGAATTCACTAACCTATCTTTTGCTGTATGCAGCCTGTTATTAAACCCATCAAATAATTTCAAGCATACTTTTCAGTTCTAAAATATTCATGATTCTTTTTTTCTTTTTTTTTTTGGAGACAGAGTCTCACTCTGTTACCAGGTTGGAGTGCAGTAGTACAAAACTCTGACTCTCTGGTTCAAGCTATTCTCCTGCCTCAGCCTCCCAAGTAGCTGGGATTACAGGCATGTGCCACCACACCCAGCTACTTTTTGTATTTTTATTAGAGACAGGGTTTCACCATGTTGAGCAGGATGGTCTCTATCTCCTGAACTCATGATCCGTCCACCTCGGCCTCTCAAAGTGTTAGGATTACAGGCATGAGCCACCATGCCCAACCTCATGATTCTTTTCACAGATTCCAATTATCTGTTCAAATTTTCCATTCCCCCCTCGATTTTCTCTAATAGTGTTTTTTTAAATACCATCAGATTTGAGTAGAAAACTCATTAGTTGTTATCATAGAAGTACTAAGATGTGCTGGATTATACCCCGCATGAGTTTAGATTTAAAAAAAAAAAAAAAATCCTTACCTTTGCTAATGTTTTCTTGGAGTAAATGTCAGTACGAAGACCAAAGTTCTGCAAATCAATTGGTTTTTCCTTGCTTTTCTCAGGAAAATTTAGCATCTGTTGAGCAGCAGGGACCTGAGTCAAATAAATGATAAATGGCTGAGTTAATCTCTTTAAAGTCAAGAGGATAAATGTTTTTCAAAAACTGGGCCAGACACGGTGGCTCACGCCTGTAATGCCAGCACTTTGGAAGGCTGGGACAAGTGGATCACAAGGTCAGCAGACCAGCATGGCCAACATGGTGAAATCCTATCTCTACTAAAAACACAAAATACAAAAATTAGCTAGGCATGGTGGTGGGCGCCTATAACCCCAGCTACTTGGGAGGCAGGAGAATCATCTGAACCTGGGAGGCAGAGGTTGCAGTGAGCTGAGACTGTGCCACTCCATTCCACTCCAGCCTGGGTGACAGTGCAAGACTCTGTCTCAAAAAAACAGGAAAAAAAAAAAAAAAAAAAAAAAACCAATTGCTGGGGCTGGACACAGTGGCTCATGCCTATAATCACAGCACTTTGGGAGCCCAAGGCAGGTAAATCACGAGGTCAGGAGTTCTAGACCAGTCAGACTAACATGGTAAAACCCTATTTCTGCTAAAAACACAAAAATTAGCAGAGCATGCAATCCCAGCTACTCAGGAAGCTGAAGCAGGAGAATTGCTTGAACCTGGGAGACAGTGGTTGCAGTGAGCCAAGATCGTGTCACTGCACTCCAGCTTGCGTGACAGAACGACACTCCATCTCAAAAAAAAAAAAAAAAAAAAAAAAAAAAAACTATTTAATATTGGCACTTAAACCACTCCTGGTGGATTTCCTACAAAAAATAAATACCCACACTTCTACACTATACTTCTAACAAAAATTCAACACATAAGACACATTTTGGTGTCCATTTAAGTCCCAAAAAGGATAACAAATTTTCATTACTATCTTCTATTTCACAATGGGACAAAGTTCTTATACCTTAGGTTCCTGTAAATACAACTTAATGCTATATATAATTTCCTTGACATAATCTGTTTGATAATGTATATATGGATGTAAACTTTACAAATTTAGGACAAGTTATAAAGATTTCTTTGCTTCACATTTTTAGAACATAGACTGGAGGAAGGTAAAAAAGATTTTGCATCATCTGCTTACTTGTGAGTGTCTGTTTGATGACAGAAGGGTAAAGGAAGTTATGTATATAAAAGTAAATTAAGAATCTGATAGAGTAAGGCATTGGGTCTTGGGATTGGTGGGACAGCATTAACTTAAACACCATATATTCTTTTGGACTGTAATATTTACAGTACACCAAAACACACACACAACCAACCATAAAAGAAATAGCACGATTAATAGCATTACAATACAATAATTATTCCTAAATAGATATGCTATAAATAGTCATGTGTTACTACCCAGTTCTGAAGAAAAAAGTCAACATTAATTTACCTGAGGTGATCGAAGATGCAGAGGCACAAGCCCAGAGGGGGTATCAGCTAATACATTAAAATGAGGAGTAGGAGGTGGTCCCATTGCCATGGGTCTACTTTCCGGGTCAACTTGGTAATTAACAAGTCCCCACTGCTCTAAAAAGGCATGGACCCTAAAGAAAAAAGCTCGAAAAGTTAAAATCTAGAGAATCAACTTCAGGTGCTTTATCATCATCATCATCGTTATTAAAAAACAGAAACAATAAAAGAAGTAAATATTCTCAGCAGGCTATGAAACACCACAAACGACCTAACAGATTTTCTTATATGAGGAACAATTTCTTAAGTCACAAGTAAAGTTAATAACACAGCACCACCTAAACCTACTACAAAGTCTTATCATTTCAACCACAGAAATGAGAGCACAAATACAGATTTAGGTCCATGTTAATAAAAGAAGTCACACATAGACCAAATATACACACCAAAAAAATCCACATTTTTGTTTTTTTGTCTTTAGGCAGATCTAGGGCACAGAGCTTATCCACTCTCAACCTGAACCCACTCCATCCCTGGTTATTTTGTGATTTGACTAAAAAATTAAAAATATGAACTGTAAAATCTAAAAAACTTAATTAAATATTTATTTATTTATTTTGAGAGAGTGTTGATCTGTCACCCAGGCTGGATGACACTGCAATCTCTGCCTCCTGGGTTCTCCCACCTCAGCCTCTTGAGTAGCTGAGATATAGTCACGTGCCACCACACCCAGCTAATTTCTTTATTTTTAATAGAGACGGGGTTTCACCATGTTGGCCAGGCTTGAACTCCTGACCTCAGGTGATCCACACACCTCAGGTTCTCAAAGTGCTGGGATTACAGGCATGAGCCACCGTGCCCAGCCTAAATTAAATATTTAAAATATTCAACTCCTAATCCTGAATACAGGGCCCACACCTGCAGTCACAGTGGAGGCCAAGGTAGGAGAATCGCTTGAGGCCAGGAGATTGAGAACAGCCTTGGCAACACTGTGAAACCCCATCATGATAACATTAAATTAAAATAATAAAATAAAAATAATTAAATTGAATGAAATAAAAAGAAACAAAATATAATCAACCCCTAAATGAGATAACTAAAATTAGGTATTTTACCCAGTTGAAATATCCAGTTTAATCACGCAAACATTAGACAGCAATGCATCAGTAAATTCCTACAGTGAAATGTCTCAGAAATTCTAAGTCAAATGCTTTACCTCATTACAGCACATACATCTCCAGTCAAGTTCCTCCTACAAGCAGTACTGGTTAAGTACTCTTGGGGGTTTAGGCGATACGTGTCAATCATAAAATTTCGATATGCCAAGTATCTAAAAAGCAATGGCAAAATTCATAAGGTGGGTATGTATTCTTTTAGAAACAATGTTACTCAGAAAGCCAAAAATCTTCAGATTTCATAAAAATAAATACAGTAACAAATTAAGACAACAGCCCAAAAAACAACAGTGATATTATATTGCGTAAAGTTACAAGTGAATTTAGAACCCAGAATATGCAATACAACTGTTTACTAATATGTAACAACAAGTAATCTAATGACATTAATGTGAAGTAACATAAATTCAAACTTGGTCATGGGGGTGGCTAACTGCAGAATTCGAAATTAACACGTGGTTACATAGGCTATCTCCCTCACTACCACATATCTATACTTTACTCTGTGGAGGACACTGCTATAAGCAATGTATGTCTAACAACTCAATTAGTCCTCATAGTCTCTTCATATTAAAAGGAAGGGTTTGCTATCATCCCATTTATGGATGAGCAAACAAACACTGAGTTGTTAGAGAATTTGCCCTAGACCACAGGGTTGGTAACTGGTTGAGCCAGAATTCAACTCAGCCACTGTGGTGGTGCTTCAATCTATGCTCTCAATCTCTGCTGCCTATCAGTTCTATATTCCACACATGTCATGAATTTGGCTCTGAAAACAGCTATATAACTTCTTATGGAAGTTCTTTAAGGGAGATCACAGCTGGGCAGTAAGTAGAACCCATGAGACCAAATCCGGAAAAGAACATACAAAAATGGAGAGAGAAATTGAGATTCTGTTATAGCAGATTCCAAGGAATTCTCTCACAAAATATAGTACTTAAAAACAGAGTGTTAAGGACTTTGAGACCCAGCAACAGTTCTTGGCACATAAATAAAACAAAACACAGGCAGAAGAGATCACTCCACTGCACACCAGGCTGCATTACGGGATGACACTCTCTCCAAAAAAAAGAAAAGGGCCAGGTGCAGTGGCTCATGCCTGTAATCCCAGCACTTTGGGAGGCCAAGGCGGGCTGACCACACCATCAGGAGATGGAGACCATCCTGACCAACACGGTAAAACCCCATCTGCACTAAAATATAAAAATTGAGCCGGGAGTGGTGGCGCATGCCTGTAGTCCGAGCTACTTGAGAGGCTGAGGCAGGGGAATTGCTTGTACCCGGGAGGCAGAGGTTGCTGTGAGCTGAGATCACACCACTGCACTCCAGTCTGGTGAAAAAGCAAGACTCAGTCTCAAAAACAAGAAAAGAGAAACAGATTAATATCGTGAACAAAGTACATGGGAGTGTATTTGCAGTATTGACAGGTGAGCACTTATATATAGGGACAAGGGTTCCAGAAGTGTATACAGATAAATCACCAGGGAAAAACAAAAAGTACTTCCTACCAAACTTCTTCCTTCCAAAAAGAGTTTTCCTATATCCAAAGCAAAAGCACAACAATGCATTATGCAATTAAGCTCAATTCACATGCAGCTATATCATCAGATCTGGCAATCTTTTAATTAGCAGTCGTTCAACAGGAAGATAAGATAAAGATTCTATTTTTCTCCTAGATGAATAGAAAGAATCCATAGCATACATGCACACACAAGCTGAAAGTTGTTAGGACAGGCTGAGGATGACAGCTCATGCCTGTAATCCCAGCACTTAGAGAGGCCAAGCCAAATGGATCTCTTAAGGTCAGGAGTTCAAGGCCAGCCTGGCAAACATGGTGAAACCCCATCTCTACTAAAAATACAAAAAAAAAAAAAAAAAAAAAAAAAAAAAAAGGAGTGTGGTGGTGCATGCCTATAGTCC